GTTGGTCTCTTCTCCCAAGTAACTAGTGATAGGACGAGAGGCAATGGCCTCAGGTTGTGTCAGGGGAGATTTAGCTTGGATATTAGAAAATTTCTTTACTGAAAGAGTTGTAAAACGTTGGACCAGGCTGCCCAGGGAAGTGGTGGAGTCACCATCCCTGGAGGTGTTCGAAAAATGTGTAGATGTGGACTTCAGGACATGGTTTAGTAGGCATGGTGGTGTTGGGTTGATGGTTGGACTTGATGATCTTAGAGGTCTTTTCCAACCTTAGTGATTATATGATTCTTTCTTATCAGATGTAGTTCTTCAGATTCTCATTTTATGTGCAGTTTCTGAGAGTCGGAGGACAGCTGACCTGTTTCGGTGTGGGTTTTTGCTTCCCCTTTACCCTCTGAAAATGTGGGGCAGCACAGTCTTTTTACTGAGTGATGGCTTTTCACCTCCAATCTTTTACTTCCTTCCAGGGCTTGTTAGCATTGCATAAAGAAGTGAAGTTGCAGTTTGATGTCATATTGCAGCGTCATGCTTGTTCAGATATTTGCAGTATTTGTCTGCCAGAAGTAGTGTGGGAGTGGTTTGCCTTTACCTTTTTTGTCACCACAGGAAAAAAATAATTTCTGAGAAAGCATTGTAATAGCTAAGTCAGAGGGGAGGAGCAGGTAATTTTTGCTAAGACTTGCAGGCACTTACAATTTGAGGTGATATTCACTCCCAGGTAATTGGTCATCCAGTAATGTGTGGGGAATACCTCGGTAGCCTCTGGATTATGACTCCCTTGGCAGTCTCTACTACCAAGGAGTCCTTTTAAGGTTTTTGTTTGTTTTTTTTTTTAAAGTATTTAGAATGTCCTTTATGTTCATGCCTCACAGATTGTGTTGAAATGCTGCGGGAGACTGTAAATTGGATCTGGAGGAAGGGACTGGATGAGATGATGATTTCCTGAACAACTTTGCTGTTGTGGTGATCAGTGGTTTTTTTCCTCAGCATCAGTCTACAAACTAATTATGTCCAAGAGATATACTTTACTCAGCTTTTAATCATACCCTTTTCTTCCAATGTAGCTGGGAGCACAGCTGTTCCTACTTCAGAATGGAGATGAAAGGAAACAAGCACCACAGCCATATCTGCAAATTAATTGTGATTAGCAGCAAGATGAACTGTTAAGCTAACCCCAAATTTGAATTGAATTTATTTGTAACTGACAGGCTCTAAGACAATTTTGTCTTTGAGGTTAGATTTAGGCAAGCCTGGGCTACGAAACCATACCACAGAAGATGCGAATGTTGTTTGGGGTTATTTAAGCAAACTTTGCTCGTTTTACTTATGCTCCCTTGAGAGTTTTACTACTCTTCTACTTTAATGGAAAGATTCCCATATTTCAGGTATCACCACTAGGTCCTCAGCCTCCAGTCAAGCTCTGTCAATTTTCTCTGACTTCTCTGTCCTCCTTTTTACTCCTGACCTTTTCCAGTTGTTGCTAGTTAGTATGGGATCCCAGTTTTTGCCTCTTCCTTCTTCGTTTCTCTCCCATTTTCCCCTGAGCTGTGAACCTCCTTCACTGCTCTGATATTGGGGATTGAGCTGTGATAACCTGTGTGAAGCTGCTTTGCTTGCAGCTCTGCTGCTGTTTGCATCAACTGCAGTGTCTGAACAGAGTGGATCTTTGCTTTCTTACATATATTGTTAGTGCACAAAGCCGAGATTCCCCAAGCCATTGCTTCTTTCCTAGGCATCTGATTTTATGCAAAAAGTTGATAGAGATTAATGTAAAACTTTATTCTTTGATAACTTGATGGACTAGACAAGAGGACAAGGACGGTTTGAAGGATGTCAGAATAAATGCTGTCTAGGACTTCAATTTCAGTAAAAGCTTTAATGGTTCTTTTGTAAGAATGTTGAGCAGAAATGCATTACCTTAATTTTTTCTTGGGACTTGCTAGAAATTAATTCTTTTAAAGAGTCTTTCTATCACCTTCATGGGCTGTCCTGTCTCAAGTTTTTATAATAGCTGCCTCTTTGCAGTAATGATTGTAATACTCTATGCAATATATTACTCAAACCCACTGACAGCAAAGTAGTTTTACAGCGCAATGGTTACTGCTCTTAGAGCTGAGGTGGTGGCTATCACATGCTTGGTCCAGTAAAGCTTTTACTGTATTACTGCAGTCATCCTTTAGAGTTCTGTATTATGCTTGGGCAACATAGTCCTTACCAGTTCTTACGATTCTGTGTCTAAACATACAAAATAATCTTGGTTTGTTAACCTGGAAGTTGGTTTGTGAATCCATTCGTCAAGCATGTGTGTGTGTTCTGTTTTCTGTTTATTTGGGGCTTTTTGTTTTACAGCCTACGGAAAACATCCCTAGCCTTGAAGTGGCTATAAAAATTCAATTTCAGAGAAGTGGTCAGCACAAAATTTGTCCTATTCCCAGAGCTAGGCCTAAATGTAAGTGAAAATCTTTCAGTATTGTTTGTAGGAGGAATCATTGGTCAGCTGAAAAATCTGTGTACCACAAGAAGCAGAAATTTTTGATAGGACTGTGAAGACGGGTGTGAATGGGAGGTCTGAGTGTGTCCAGAAGGAACAGCAGAAGACAGATACAAATGGCCAATACTGATGGCACCTAGATTTGCAGATCATGAGGATTACAGCACATCTTTGTGCAGCTTCTTAGAGTGCCAGATAGGGAAAACAAAGGACAGCCTAAAACAAGGGACAGCGCGTTCCTGCACTCAGGCTGAAGTGAGTAATCAAGCTATTGCCAGATGATGGTGCAAATGTAAAGAACTGAGCTGGAGCCTTGAGGCACAGAGACAAAAGAGACAATAAGCAGGGACTCACTGAGGTGGGACAAGGTGGAAGACAAAGCATTTCTGAATCCCTGTTGGCTCCCTGGGGGTACAAATGGCACATCAGCACAAGGCTGCCAGCATGCCCAGCATCCCTTGCCGGACACGCTGCTGGGACAAACACCGCTTAGTCCTCGTGGGTATAAGCGAGTGAGGGGGAATCAGTTTTGTGTTACTCCACACTCACCTTTTGCCTCTTTGCAGAGTTTGCTTTGTTGTTGCCACACTGTTACAGTATCTTTTGTTGCGGAAAAGTACAGCTAAGCACTGTTGATGCCAAAGCAAATGGAGCAGCAGATGGAAATGCTAGGAGAGTGCCACCTGAGCTTAACAATACTTCTTTCATTTTGTGGAAGACGTATGTGTCCTGATATAGGTGATTTCCCCAGCACACACTCCTAATGCAGGAGCCCTTCACCTGTGCAGTGTTTCTTTTTCATCAAGGAACCAGGAATATCCCTGGTTAATCACAGAAGGCCGCTGAGAGCTGATGAGTTTCTGGATCTGGTGGCTTTCGCTTTTGTCTAAGTAATGGAGAGCTTGCCCTGTTCTCCCTGGTCATTGCTTGTTCGTCCTTAAAAAGTTTTGTTTGTTTTCTCAGCTTTCTGTTCCTGATTAGTACTTTTGTCGTCAGATGTTTTGTAGTTAAACATGCTGCTACGTATTGGTCTCTTTACACTTTACGCCCTTCATATTCTACCTGAATATTTTCACGAGAAGAAGACAAGCTGAAAGCAGATAGTCCCTGGTCAAAGTTTTTTCCCATGCCACATGCAGCACAGTTGAGGCAAAATACCAAACCTTGCTACTGTTTCTTAAGGTGGCTCTGCAATGCACAGAGATCCCAGCATGCAGAGTCTTAGCCACACAAACTCTGATCCTTTGGTGCATGTCAGAGGACCTGTGCAACTGGCTGGGCGCCGAATTGGAGGGGTCTGTAGGGGTTACCTTAATAGGAGAAGGTGAGTCATGGTGGGCGTGCCTTGTGTCGGGTTTACACTTGCTCCTGGGGAAGTGGTCTGAGAGCAGTACCTTCGCTGTCGATAAAAGCAGTTGTCTTTGCCCTTCAGGAGGTGTGCGTGACTGAAGGAGTTCAGCTACCGACTGAGTCGGGTGCAGAAGGTTACTGACTGGCCTTATCAGCAGAAGACACGGTTTTCCGCCTGCCTGCTCTAAGTATAAACTTCTCTTTCTTTGTCCTTGTTGATGCGCTTGCTTATAGGAAGGAGAAAGGGGCTGTGTGGGTAAAACAAATCCAAAGTAATTTGTTTGTTTCCATCTTGTATGGAAAATGCTGGTGACAATGTGCTCCCAGTTCCAAGCCCTGAGCCTGGCACCTGGAGAAGCATTTTCTTTCAGCATACGCGGGTATCGTGGAAAAAAGTCTTTCTTACCTTTGTATTTCTCACTTGCACTTTGGTTCAAGCTTGTAAAAGTTTAGGTTCACTACTCACCCCATGTAATTGGGGCAGAAGAGTGAGTGTGGGTTGCTGGTTTGTTTTTTTTTTCTTCCAGGATTTTTTTTCTCCTTAAACTAGTAGATTTTCCCTCGTCAATTTCTTTGGAGTGGGAGCTGTACATCTTTCTGGGGTGGCTTCCCACACCAGGGCTTGCTGCCAGCAGACAGGGATGTCCAGCAGATTGCAGGAACCTCTGGGTTGCTTAAGCAATAAGGGGGCTTTTCAGACATTTTCTTGATCCGGTGATATTGCTATGGCATGCAAGCAGAGGCTGTCTTGTTTGACTGCACATTATCAAGACACTTCTGCTTTGTAAAGCCTAAACCAGCCCCCATGAGTATCCCAGCATGGTCAGGCATCTCTTTGACAAGCATCCTTTGGCTATGCTGTTTGTCACGCAGGATGGTGACTGCCAAGGTATGGGTGCTGAAGAATCATTTTGAGGGTTTGCCCAAAAGCAGCGACTTTGACCTGAAACAGATAGAGCTGCCAAACCTAAAGGACGGAGGTAAGTGGAGTGCTACCTGTTTTTATTTTTTCCAGACGTTGTCTGGTTGCTGACACATGGCTGTGCATCTGTAGAAGTGTTTGTTTGTTTCTTTGGCTTGAATTTTTGAAGATGGGTTGGCACAGCTTGTGGCAAGCCATGCACCTTAGCGGAGAAGGGTGATAGATTAAGAATATGTGTGTTCATGGGTTTGGTGGGTTTTAAGACGCACTGCCTTCTGATAATACCCCTAGAAACAGTGACTGAGCTCTTCTAACTCCAGCACGCAATGACCACAGCATACCTTTCATGGTCTTACATTGCCTTATCACAGGGGGTGTGTGATGGCAAAGGCATTCAAATGTGTTTGTAAATGAAGCTTACTGTAGAAAATTGCTGAAGTAATATGCCCTTGAAACTGACAGCCACAAGGAAATGTAATTCGTTGCATTTAGGAAGAGAGAAATGAACTGTGACACAGAACAAATGAGATAACTGTAGTAAAACCCAAACATGCTTTACTGGTGAAAGGTTTTCATCTATTTTGCAAAATCCTTTGGAGAAAGCTGGAGAAGATGGTAGCCTCTGGGAGTACGTTTTCATTGGAGTTTTTCATCCTGATAGGGAAGGTATTGAAGACAGTACTGAGGTAGAGCAGAGTGACTGGGGCAGGAGTGCATGTGCAGCTGGGAGGCCTTGGGGCTGGAGTCAACATGGGCTGGCCTTTCATTTTAAGAAGCAACAAGGCAAGACCTCTCTGTGCATTCAAGATCTATTTTTTTTTGCCAGAGCCCATCTGCTGTATTAGACATGATGCAACAGCAAGAGAGTGAAAAAGAAGAGAAAAAAATTCACAGCTTTTATTCCTGTATTTGTATGTTTTTAAAAGCCTAGGGAACATGATGACACTTTATGCCACAGCTGTTGATAAAAGAATGAACCTTGATCTTTGGCTTCGTATGGACATCCATACTGTCTTGAACCTTACACCACTACATGTCCTTTACAAAATTTAGTTCAATTTAGGAGGGGTGCCAAAGAAATTGCATTAAAGTACTAGTCGTGTTTACAATTTAAGGGTTTGAAAGGTGATTTCTTCTTACATGTACTGTCAAGCATTTTCATAACGTGTAATTCTGTAGCGTTGAGACATTTAAAAACTTCATGCCTTGTGGGTACTGAAGAACATGGAGTCATTTCTTCCTTCCTATTTTGGTCCCTACACCAAGAAGAGGCATAACTTTGTACTAGAGTAACACTTTTAAAAGAGATGGCCTGTTCTGTTATGTTACGTGGCCTTGACTATTCTTCCTGCTCACTCTAAGTGATGGGAAAATACTTCTATCTGAATATCTTTCTGGCTTGTGCTAGCTATACCACTGCAGCACAGGGAATGAAAAGTATTATTAGGTGGAGATAAACAGCTATAACTGCTGTGTGAATGAGAATTTAAATTAAAATTTATTTTGTTTAACTGTGTATTTCACAAGAACTAGTGACATTAGAGACAGAAAGGTGGGTACCTAGAAAAGACAGCCTAATGCTTGCTGTTCAAGGCAGAAAGTAGTGTTTGCATAGGGAAGCTGCCCGGTTGTGTAGGGATGGGATCAGGAAGGCTAAGGCACAGCTGGAGCTGAACTTGGCAAGGGATGCGAAAAATAACAAGAAGGGCTTCTACAGGTATGTCGCCGGAAAAAGATGGTCAAAGAAAGCGTACCCCCGCTCATGAGCGAGACCGGCAAACTGGCAACAGCAGATGAGGAGAAGGCTGAGGTACTCAACAACTTTTTTGCCTCAGTCTTCACTGGCAACCTCTCTCCTCACCCCT